CCGATGGGTAAACGGCATAAGGGAAATATGGTAAAAGGCTTCACCATATTTCCCTTATGAAACCTGGTGAAGCCTTTTCCCTAGTCCTACAACAACACTTCCATTCATAAACAAAGTCAATGACAACCTGGATGCCGGTCGGGAGATCCACATTGCGGCGACATGCAGAACAGTAGCTCGCCTAATCTGGTTGGCTTGGCTTCTTCCAGCGCTTCAGCATCAAATCAATCAGTTTATGATGCTAAGGCGCAGATAGGCTCGGTGCGGGTACTGAGCTTTGGTCATTTAACCTCTAACGGGCCAAATGTAAATTCCTATCACCAAAGTGGCTCACTCCCCCCCCCCATTCCGCAGCTTCACAGAGTTTTCAGCTCTGCTAGACCTGTTATTCAATACGAGTTGACAAAAGCAACTAGCAAAAGTGCAAGAGGTCCCCTCAAAGACGAATAGCGCCTATGCGACTCCCCTTGCAACACCACTCTCGCAGCACCGCTGCAACTCGAAACCTAACATCGCATCGCTCCTAACATCGCTTTGACCCGCTATTGAGCTTTTACCCACTTTTGAGTTCCATTTCTCGTTATGTATTTTCGAAGCCACATAGACTGGTTGTAGTCCCTGGGACTGCTGTGCTCTTCTCCTTGGTAATAGCAAAGGATAAAAATAAAGGATAAAGTCTTCGCCGTTAATCAATCCCTTTGTGGGATGCGGCACGCATTCTACTTCCATTCAGAATCGTAGTGGCTTATTGAATGCGATGTGGCCTATACAATGACTTGCGGGGGCCAGCCGATGTACAAGTCAGTGTTTTATCCTAGACGAATCTGGTACCAATTTACCGTCCCCGGGAGGTAGAAGGCTTGGTTGGCCTGGGTAGCAAAGGCTAGGCGCTTACAAATGGAGAAACTTCGTGGTTAAAGTCACTTAACCTATATTGGTGGGAACCGAAAAAGCGGATAAGGAAGAATCGCTGGGGAGCATGTTTCATGTGTGACTCACAGTGCGTTTCATAATTATAGGGTCATCTCTGAATTTCGTTTTTCTAAAATAAACAGCAAAAACAAAGTAATTCAGTATGAAAACAAAGTAATTCAGTATGAGTGGATAATTCGCCACCAGAAATGGCCCATTAATCCGAACATTTGCTTCAGAATCCTTTGCCTTGATTTTTTGCAGTTATTTTTTTTAGATTTTGTATCATTTCATGGATAAAAGGACTCCGGAAAATAACAATGCCAAGGGATAAAAATAAAGCCCTTGCCGTTGATCGTGCCTTTTTTCAACGCCTATTAAGAATCGTAGTGGCTTAATGAATTCAGTGTGGCCTATATAATGACAAGCAGGAGCTAGCTGATGTACAAATCATTATTATTATCCTCCCATACGGCTCTGGTACCATTTTGTCGTTCCCGCATTCCAGAGGGTAGAAGGCTTGTTACCTGGGCGGGAGCCCATATGGGGCTTGACCCTTGGACCGCAAGCACGGCGAGCGTGTCACTTGCCACTCCACCACATCCGAATTGATATTTCGTCACATTTCCCCACCATTCCACAAATCTCTACTTTATATCTCGACACAATAGCGTCGGGTCGATCCATAAAGTAAAGATTCGTGAAGTGGGGTGGAAAATGGTGGAAGTGCAAAATGCCTTCCCCTGCCGAACCGTGCCAAGGGAATCTCCAAAAAAGTCAGAGAAAAAGACCCTGGGAGAAAATCATTCGGTCATATGAACAACATTATCAATCGGCTGATTTGGAAAATTCAGGTGAAAGCTCGTCTGCTTCGAGAGCCATCTGTTCCCCATAGGACTCCGAAAGGCGCAAGTTCGGCACTCGAGACACGAAGGGAAGATTTAGAGCTTACTATATAAGTGGTCGACCTTCGTAATTGACCATGGTTTTGAGATTGACAACGTTTTTACCATAGCTGCTTAGACGATGCCTGTTCCAGGTTTTACAAGAGTTTACAAGGTTTCACACAGAGGTAAGACTTGAACTGGGAAGTAAGTGAAGCAAGTCGTAGTGTAAAATCCCCCCCCCCCCAACCCACGTCGCCGGACTGCGTCCGTCCGAATTACCCCCATAATCGGACTGAGAAACTTATTCCGAGCTCAGAAGGTTATGAGCACAATGAAACCGTAGGAGCTGTAACCTGTTTGTCTTACTTTGGAGGGATTTGGTCCTGGGGGCTTCCTCACCATGTGGAGTTAAGGGCATTATAAGGGTTCTGAATGGTAAGACTGACAGTCACATCATCGATGAAAGAGGATAGAAAAATATCTTTTGAGGGCATGTTCCACGTTAGTGATACAGTGCGTTCCACAACCATACGGGCCACCCCTGCATTTTTCATTTTTTGAACAATCAGCCATTGATAATTTTATTCGTGTGAGAATGACTTTCCACCGCGAATAGCCCTGCTTTCAGAGTTTTGAGTTGCAGGGTCTTTTTCTTCAATTTTTTTTTTACAAAATATTCTTAGCACGGTTATGGGGATGGGCATTTTGCACTTATACAGCCGCTTTTCCTTTCCCACTTCACCGAAATCTTTACTATGGATAGACTCGACACTGTTGTGTCGAGCCATAAAGTAGAGATTTGTGAAATGGTTGCGAAGTGGACGAAACATTAAGGCGGATGAGGTGCAGAGGCAAGTGACACGCTCGCCGTGCTTGCGGTCCGAAGGTCAAGTCCCGTATCGACTCCCGTTCAGGCTAATCAAGACTTCTACCTCTGGGATCCGGGGAGGACAAAATGGTACTAGAGTCCTCTGGGAGGATAAGAATACTGAATACACCGGATAGCATGTTTGTTTTCCCAGAGCAACCTTTTCTTCGTGAAGTGATGCAAAAACTAAAAATTAATTGCAAAAAATTAAGGCAAAGTATCTTGAAGCGAAAATTCGGATTAACGGGTTATTTCTGGGGACGTTTTACCCCACTCATACTAAATTTCCACTCTGCTGTTTATTTTAGACAAACGAAATTAAGAGATGACCGCTATAATTATGAGAACGCATGTGGAGTCACACGCTGAAACGCTTGCTCTCCAGCCGATTCTTCCCTATGGCTGCGTTTATACTTTGCGGCAGCGTAGCGTAGCGTAGCGCAGCGTAGCGTAGCGCTTCCAGCGTACGCCAGCGGCAATGCCGAAGAGAGGATGCATATCGATCTAGCTTCACCAGCGTCACCAGCGGCACGCTGGCGTACGCCAGCGTTTCTCCAGCGTTTCACCAGCGTTTTGCTAGCGTTTGCAGCGGCAGGGGAGTAGAGACTATGGGAGAGCTGGAGGATACAAAATTGCGCGTCTCCCACTCGCTCTTAGTCTCTGCAATGCACATCGCTTCTGCGTCTCCGACGGCCCCATAG